GGAGGAGAGAAAGAAGAGAGAGAGAGAGAGAGAGAGAGAGAGAGAGAGAGAAAAAATCACAAACCTGTCATTGTCGCGCGATCTGAGCTCGTCGATGCGTCTTCGACGTTCCTCTTCCCGTTGCTCCCGGAAACGTTGCGCGGCGAACGCCTGCTGTCTCAGCTCTTCCAACTTCCGCTGCCGTTCTTCGTTCTGTCTCTCACGGACGAGCTTCGCCCTGTCCACGTCTTTCGCGTTTCCCGTCGACTCCCGTCCTGAGAACAACCGCGAGAATCGATTACTTCTCCTCGTCGAGCGTTTGTTCCGCTTGAAACACGCCAACGTTTAACAACCGTTTTCCAGACAGTTCTCGAATATAAAAATTACTTGGTTGTTTTTTTTTTTTTTTTACTCGCTTTCGAAAAACTTTGACTTGTTTCGCGAAAAATCGTCTTCATCGAAACGAACGAATCTTAATCCCCCCGTAATTTACACGATAGATCGAAGAGAAAAACATTGATTTTTTTTTTTTTTTAACCATCGTTATATCGTTATTACATCATTTAAACGTGAAAATCTGTTTTCGAAAAATCTGAAAATTCGTACGACTATTCGTACGAAAAAATTGTGAACGAAGGAAAGATCAAAGTCTCGAACGCCACTGCCCTTGAAAACGTGATACCTTCGTTCTCGCTAGGATGATCGCCATCGAGGGAATCCTCGTCGTAGAGACTCTGCCGGCGCTTCACATCTGTCGAGAAGAAAGCGAGAATATGTGCGTACGCACGTGAGATTCGGGGGGGGGGGTAAGGGGGGAGAGAATAATTACGAGCACAATGCGCGACACACTGCGTACAGGCATGCAGCTGCGTACACACCATATGCACGTAACACGTAAGTGCAGGTTTTCTCAAAGCGGTTTTAGTAGTAGACACCGGTTCTCAAAGACACGTTTTCAAACATCCATGCGTCATGCATACTCGACGGTCGCATACACAGCGTCTAAAATCGGGGTCGACGCGACGCGATGGATAAGCGAAATTCCTTTCGGTTTCCGGCGAAACACGCGCCACCAACTCCTCCTTTCGGTGTTCAACGACCAACTTCCGACCGAATGAAATTAACGAAATACGATTACGACAGGAGGGAAAGGTCAGAAACCGTGACCTCTATGGGAATATTTCATCGCCAAGATTCGATTACCGCGGCGAAGATAATCAATTTCCGCGAAATATTCCCCTCCTCTCCTCTTCTCCTTGCAGCTGTTTTATCAAGCGAAGAAATAAATTCGATTCGCCAGATTCTCCCCTCTCCTATTCTAGTTTCGCGGGGGAAGAAAAAATCGTCCATTCCTCGCGATATCCTCGTGCTCTTTTTTTTTTTTTTGCTCGGTTAATGCGATTATTAAAAATAGGACACTGTAAAAGGCGTGTGTTCCGCTCGTACGGACGGCAACGTTCGATTTATCGTTATGTATTCGTGGTCGGTGTCGCAAGACCGTTTCTTTTTTTTTTTTTTTTTTTTACGTTTTAAAATACGTTTTAAAATATTCAATGCAAACCTTTTTGATGTTTTACACGTGCTTCTGGATCGGTCGTGCAAGTTTGACTCGCAATTTCTCTGTTAGTATCTCGTCATATAGACTGCGGATTTTTATGTAACTAAAACGTATTCAAAATATTGAATTAATACATTAAGAAAACATCCCCATATATATACTTTGTATCACCAGCAACAGATCATTGCATTCACGCAAAATGATAAATGAAAACTTTAATTCTTAATGCCATGTCGAAGTGACTTTTTGATTCGTTTCGATATCTCAATATCGAAACGAGATATAAGGATAAACGTCCATATCGTTTGAGACAGTGATTACGAATGGATGACTCTATATTTTTTCCTGGAAGCAATTTCTTCTACGAATCGTATAGTTTATATAATCTATAGTTTAATTCTGAAGTTCGGGATAGGTCAGTGAGATGAGATGCGAGCGAGAGGTTTGATAAGAAAAAAGATAATAAACGATAATAAAAAAATACACACTTTTCTTTTTTCGCTATTTTATCTCGACAATCGGGATTCGTATTAGAATAAACGAAAAAACGTTTCAAAAGATTCTAAGATCGTTCATTCGTTGAGCGGAAGCCATTATTTTATGGCGGTTCAAAAATTTTTTTCCCCAAATTTTAATAAGATTCAATCAGGCGTAAGATAAACGATTATCTTTTCTTTCTCACTAATCGATTTCTAATGATCTCATTGACCGGAAGTCACTATCTTCAGAATGATAGCGATTCAATTTTAAAGCAAATTACGTAATAAATTATATTCATTTCTGGAAGAATATTGCCTCACAACGATCTTACTAACCACGTTTCGTAATTTTACGGACGTTTCTGAATACCTTATTTACGGTCTTTTAAAATGGACACACGTCAATATGGAAAATATAACGACATAAAATTCCACAGTCTATTCATCGTAATTGTTAAAGAAACACACACACACACGCGCGCGCGTGGCTAGGAACGCGAGCAACCGACGAATGCGGTTATATCCAATTCCGACGAGGGGTTACTATTAATACACACTCGTTACGAGACGCGTTAAATTCTGATCAAACACATGTGCGACGAGTTTGTCAAAGCACACTGCCCGTTATTTACCAAACTGATTATTACCTGACGAATCGGGAGAGGCCTCGTCACCTCCGATTTGGGCGAACCAGTGCATCGTTTGCTCTGCGGGACATAAATTCCAACTTCGTTCTTATGGGTTTTTCTCCGTTCAAACAGAAACCACCCGATGTTCGCGGCGAATCCTCGTGTTTGCGATAGACACCCTCGATTGCTCGATTGATTTATTAAATTTATCAGCAAGTCGCGCGCTTCCCCTCGCGAAACAAATATTTAGATACACGTCTCGACTCGATTTACCTTCTAAATTTATCGAAACTTTCGAAATTTTTTAATTCAATCGCGAGAGAAAAAAAAACATTTCGAAATGGAAAGGGAGAAGAATGGAGTACGAGAAAGGAAAAAGAAAACAAGAAGCTTGATTCAAGAGAGCGTAAAGTCTCATAAATATTTCCGCAAATATTTTCTTAAAAATAACGGCAGAGAGATAGGATCAGCGAGGGATACGCACGCGTGCCGATCTTTTCAAACGAGTTTAAATTCCTCTAATGGGATACGGGAGGGGAGTCACGGATCCTCTCCATCTCTCTCGTTAATTGCGACACCGTCTCGCTTATTTTTGTCCACGATTCGATTCGTCTGCGTTCGAAAGGGAGGGAAGAGGAAGACATACGTTTCACCCGGCGCGGATTCTTCCGCTTGCCGGAACGCGCCTTCGCTATAATTGATAATTGGAAAACCGTGGTAGCCGTGAACGCGCGTAGTAATTGCATAAGGGGATTTCCTTTGGTTAAACGATCACGACTCGATAACAAACAACTCTCGCACGGTAAGAAATGGAAACGGTGGATAACCTCGCGTTATCGCGCGGTCAATTATTCCATCGTTGCTCTTGTTTATAAATCCTCTGAATTCCATCCATCCCTCCCCCCTCCTCATTCATCGTCTCGAACAATCGTATTACCGAGGCCGGGTCTGTTTATCGCCGGCAAACACCCATTCTTTCCCGTTGTTGCGAGATATTAATGGCCATATCGACCAGATGGAAGGAACGAACGATCGAAAGTGGGAGAAGATATAGGCAAGAGATCGATCCCTACGCGTTTAAATGGAATTACACCTCCGTTTATTGATTACACCTTTTCGTATCGTCTGATTAATCGCGGCTCGTATCGCTTGAAAAGAAAGAAAGAAAGAAAGAGGGGGAAAAAAAAAGAGCGAACGATTCGCGAGAGATAGATTCGGTTTATTTCCATGTCCAACGACAGGCAGAAGAGGAAAGCCTACCTGCCGATGTTGTTTCCGGCTGCTGATTGCAAATGTCAGAAGGAAAAAGTGCGAGAGAGAGAGAGAGAGGAGTCTTGCCTGATGGACCATCTCGTGGCAACCGTTGATGGTAATTGGACGTTTCATTAGCAATGCGGATGCGGAATCGAGGGAACGAGAGGAAGGGAGAGAGAGAAATAGAGGAAGGGAGAGGTGGAGGAGGAGATGGTGGAAGCGCGGGAGGAAACGCGAGAAGGTAGAAAGGGAAACAGGGTGAAAGCGTTTCGACGTTACCGATAACGTTATACGGATATAAAGTTGTGTCGGATAGATTCTGTCGTCGATGAATAAACGAACGTGCGTTAATGAAAATAAGAAAAATATATATTTATGTGAAAGGATGCGCGCTCCAAATGCGACACGTATTAATTAATACCAACGCTTGACGAGAAATGTATAGAGAGCAGTCTCGATTGCGAATCAATACCATTTGCGTCAAAAACCTTCGAGAACGGAAATTCGAGAAACTCTCCTCGTTGGATATCCGCGCGTATATATATATATAGATGCGAATAAACGAGAATAAACGAGAATAAACGAGAGCGAGCCCTCTTCAAGATGATTTACCCGGGGAAAGAGAGAGGGAGGGAGAGAGAAAAGAAAGATGGCGGGTGGAAAAATTCCGAGGGAAAAAAACTTTGAACGATGATTTTAAATTACAGCAGTCTCGAGCCACAATGAGTCCCACTTCCCGCGAAAACGGTCGAAAAACGTGGAGAGGCCCTCGGCGGTGGGATATACACACGTCGGCTCTGTTAATCTTCCGTCGCCTGGAAGTGAGTCGGAAAACAATGGAAATCCGAGCCTTTTCATCCGCTCTCGCGATGGAATTGAAATTTCGCTGCGAAGAAGAAACCCAATTGTAGGAGCGAGAGGGATCCGCGATAGTTTCTGAATCGTTTCCCTTATCTCCACGGGAACGTTTCGCTGCAGATTTAGAGCTTGGCCGGATCCCTTCAATGGACACCAATCCGCAATCTACTATTACAAACTTATTACTCGATCGAGCCTGGTGGTGCCCCTTTGTCCTCGAGAAGCAGGCCACCGGTCGCGTTATCGCGATGATTTCGAGAGACTTGGAGCTCGAGAATTGGAAAAACTATTTTTTTCGATTCCTTCGATCGCCTCGACGAGAAGTTAAAATCCCTTATTCGATTCGCAAACGTTGAACAATGAACGTTTACGAAAGTAGGAGAAGCGCAAAGTGGGTCGAGAGTGGAATAATCCCAGGTATAATCGATGCGAAAAG